GAATAAGAAAACGTTTATTGGTTAATGATAGTTACTTCAAATCAATTCGCATATTCATTTGAGTACATTTTTGGTATGATTTATATGAGTACTTTGGATCTATACAGAACTATTAAACACAAAAACATACTACACCATGATGTTTAAGCATTACATATATACACTTTGAAAAAAAACATGAAAATGTTTTAAAAAAAATTATCAGCGTAACTCTTCAGCTATATGTGTTTTTTATATGTATGTTTCATGAAGAATGATCTCAATGTTAACTAGACAAAATAAACTGGATCACTCTCAAATTTCTTTAGAAATCTTTCACATTTTCCTGCTCAACAGATCTTGAACTGAAATCAAACTCAAAAAGATTTTGTGGTAAAGAAATAAGTCTCTGTTGAAAACTGCAAATAGGTGACCAAGCGACATGTTCGGTTTTAATTCAAAATTTACATTGTTAGGAAATGTTATATAAGGAAAAAGCACACAGAAAAACATAGGTTGGATTCTCTAGTTACTAGTGGAGATGTATTAAGAAGTATGGTGTATACGTATTACGTTTGGGATAATATTTTGACTTCACGTGAAAAAGCTATAAGAACGTGTTTATATCTCCTTTTACATATTTGTTCTGAGAAAACATTGTATGAGCTAGGTGTATATGATGAATAAAACATCTCTTTCCTCACTCAACAAGATGAAGAAAAAGAGGAAACACACTGCGCCATGTTTAATCTCACAAGTCACAACAGTACCAACAGAAGAAACCATAAATGAAAGATCCAAAAACAAAACCGTACTTTTGGTTGTTACTTGATTTGATAAGAACGGTGATGTAAAAACGAAGTTCTAAGTGTAGCAGCCTAGCAGGATGCTTTTACGTTGTAGGAATTTTATTTATATCACTGTTATATTCTGGTGTTAATGCCCAACTATATAATTAATGGAATGCTGTTTATTTAAAAAAAAAAAAAAGAAGGTATGGGGGAAAATTTAACAATCGAGTAAGACAATAGGGCGTAAATGTAAAACAAACACACTATCGGGGTGAATGTAGAAAACAAAAGTTAGGTTTATCTTTCAACTTCAACAGATGCATAGTGGTTGCGGGTGTAAATGATTGTAGCAAATACTTGAGTTTTAATTTGAGTAGCCTTGCCTTTAGGAGGCATCGTTAAATCTTTTGGAATCAAATATCTTATAATCATATTTTCTAGCGAGTAGTCTCATATTAGGAGATAAAGGTAGAGAATCAGCTTCTGATGGATCCATTAGTACAAAAAACCTCCATCACGATGTTTCACTATTGAGGGTCATGATTCTGAGATTAGGCCAAGATATAAACTAGTCTCTGTGTTGATTCCAATGGTTTCTACTTCAATCTTTTGATGCTGATGTTTGTTACGCATTTTGTCGTTATGGTCCTATTATGGTTCTGTACTCAAAAGGAAGGCGTCGAAATTACGGCCTAGGCTTTGGGGGCGGCTATACAGAATGTTCAACATCTTTTGGATACAGAACCCTCCATTTGAGTTTCGCTTTCCTTTGTTTTTAGAGCCTACAGTGTTGTAGGCTTGTAGCACTCTTGGTTTAATGGATTGTGTAGAGGGAGACGACCAAAACAACTACAAATGCTCGTCTGTATCGTTGTAATGATAGCTTTTATTCAGACTTTAACATTCACAGAATCTATGTTATTTGCACTGTTGCAGCAGTGTGTAGGCTTTTATTTGGATTCGTTATTTTAAACGTTCACGTATTGAATTAGTTCAAGTGTTGATATGTGCAAACATTTGTACACGATATTTTTTTTTTCTCCCAATATAAACCTAGTTTATCCGGTGCAATATGTGAATGTTTCGGTTCAAACCGGTTTGATTTATTCAGATTACTAGCCAACGTGTATCCCTAAAGGGTTAGTGAATAATTAGTGATTGGAATCAGCATGAAATATCAGTAATTATTTCCAAATAGTGAGATTTAGTAATCTTTATATATAATATAAAGATATAGAGGTGATTGTGTTGTGTGTTGTGAAGTTAGTTAGGGTGACATGATCAAGATGAGAGGATACGTAATTGTCCACCGAATTTAAACTATTATTAAAAACGATGATATAATAAAAATAAAATCGAGAAGAAAACAATAATAATAAGACACTGGTATATAAAATATCAGTTAATAGATGTTAAGACTGCAGATTTGATTGGTTGGTTAAGGTTTGATATGAACCATCTGTAATTTGCCAGCTTGAATGTCGCTGTAATGAATTGCATACCCAACTTGTTTATGTTTACATCATAAACTCTTTTGTCCTTTCTCCTCCTTTCCTTTTTTTTCCCTCCCCCTCTTCTTTTATTAAATTTAACTAGGATAAGACATGCGCCTTGCGCAGGGTGAATATATGTAATTAAAATATAAAATTTTAATATTCACAAATTTAAAATTTACATATGATTGTTTTTGTATGTATTTGAAATTTTAGAATTTTGGAATTTTTATATAATTATCTATACGTATGATCAAAAACAATTTTAATTAGAAATGTAAATCAAATCTTAGAATNAATATAATTTATTTATTTGTCTAATAATATTAGAAAATTATATTTTTTAAAAATTATATTTTTAAAAAATAATTTTCTAAAAAATTATGTTAAATTTAAAATTATTTTTAAAAGCAATATTTTAAGTTTTTCGAATACAAATAAACAATTTAAAATTAATTATTGTCATGATTTAACATAGCCATAATGATTTAAAAAAATTAAAAAAATTAAAAGTTAACAAATTAAAAGTTAACAAATTAAAAATTAACTCAGTTTTATATCATGATTTAACAATTTAAAAATTAATTATGGTTATGAGAAGTTTACGTTCACGTGTCAATCCTATTTATCTTCCAGTTATGAGAAGTTCACGTTCACGTGTCAATCCTATTTATCTTCCATTTTTCTCTGCTATGTTTTTTTTTATATTTTGGTTATTACTCGATATAAATATTTATTTTGAATTTTATTCTCATTTCGTTTGTTTGTTTTGACCTGAAATTTAGAAAATATTTAAGTTTTAAAATAATTAAACAGATAAATACTTAGGTTAAGATCTGCACTTATGCACAATAAGTATTTTATATTTATTATTTCTTTTATATTTTTCTGCATATTATAAATAATAAAATAATAAGTATATATATATTAAATAACTAAGAAATCAATTACTATTATGTAACAAATTGGCGTATGCATATAAATTTAACTATTACTCTTGTTTATTCACAATTAGGGTAAATAAATCAAAATAATCAATCTTATATATTGTATATGATATATAATTAAATTTAAATGATATAAACATAGTAATATAGCACACTTTTAATATGGATA